TGATGGGGAATGCAGAAAGAAATTTCCAGTCACTGTGGCTAGCAGAATTTTGTGGTCCAGTAGAGCAATGACTGTCTTTAGTGACAGCCATTTTTGATCCTGTCTCCTTCTAAGTATGAAAAAGTATGAAAAAGTATGAGCCAAGTGAAAGTGTTTTATTTTTTTATTTGTTTATCTGATTTCACTAGTTTGATTTTCTTGTTTGGTGGTTGTGTCACAAAGCAAAAGGCTGGCTGAGGACTCAAGTGAGCTGCTGTTGGAGAGTGCGTCCTTTGGGACATACTCCAATTGTCATTGCAATTCATTAATAGTTCAGTATGGATAATATTTAAGTACACTTACTTTCAACTGAATATATTATAGAGTCTAACTATTTATTTTGTTTAACCACCATGATTAGTTTGTACTGCCTTTTAGTTTGAAGAGTATACTTGCAAAGCAGGAGCTAGTCTGTTTGTTGGATTTTAAAAAATAAATAGATAAAGTTTGATATTCTCTGCTGTGGTGCTCAAAGACCATTTACACATTTTAAAACACACACTTGTCCATCTAATTGGTGAGGAAAGGAATGGTAAATATCACCAATCCAGTCTGTGTTAAGTATGATGTTTTGACTGTGTTTATTTTTTTTCCCTTCCTCACCTTTGTGCATTTAATGCAATATTTCTTTATGAGGTGGAAAAAAAGCTATAGAAAATATAGCATGTTTTTGAAGAATTTATTGTATTCTTTTATCAATAATTTCCTTCTGTGTTAAGTCTTTTTGTATCTGGCATCTCTTCATGGATTGGCAGAGATGACTACGTATTGCTGCTGTGAATATAAGTCATTGCTACATAGTTTAAGAATCAAGTTAATGCAGGAGAATGGATGAAAAGCTAGTTGTGTAACGTATGCTTTTCATAATAGGATCTTGATTGTTTTTCTAATCCCAAGATCTGATGGAAACCTTTATAGGACATGCATGGTGGGCCTCCCTAATGCAGTCTGTAGTAGCTGTAGTTAAGTCATAGAGCCATTAGCTTGACTTCAATTGCTCACAGATGTTCATCTTCACTGTTAACCAGGCCAAGTGAAATTTTGCTCTGTGGGTGCTTCGAAGAGGGTGATTATTACAATATAATTGGTGCAATACTTCTGTGAGGAAGGGGGTGGGAACTTTTCAAAAGGTAAATACACCATTTACATGTATTTTTGTGTAAAGTCTCACTCTCAAAAAGACTCACTTTTATGGTTTGCAGTTATTCTGCCCAAATTACTGGTGAACCCAGCAGTTCCAGCAAGGAGCAGATATTATTTCCTAGTGGAATAATCAGCAAATTGCAGAATAGCTAAGCCAGGAAAGGACCTCTGGAGGTTATCTGGTCCAACTCCCTTTTTCTGGCAGATCCACTTAGAGCCAGTTTTCTAGGACTGTGTCTAGACAACTCTTGACTAGTTCCAAGAAAGATGATCCAGCAGCCTCTCTAGAGAAGGTGTTCTACCACTTAGTGTTAAATAATATTGTTTCCAGGTGTGTTTAAGTCTGTAGATTTGACACTTTTGGCTTTGGTTAATCTGTGCATTTGAAAGTTGAATAACTTTTAAAATTTAAAATATTGGCACCTTTTCATGATATGTGCTTCTTAAGATACGTCTTCCTTTAAAACAACAGTAATATATTTCAAAGACTTATATTTGTTTGCAGAGCCACAGTAGGTTTCTTGTATTAATATGAGAACAACATGCTGTCATCAGCAATTATGATAATTAAATACAGTTCTTTTTTCTAACGATATCTTAGAAGTGTAGGTAACTTAAGCAGACATACTGAAGACATATTGCATCTGTAAAAAACAAATACAGCAAGAATGTGAACAATTTAAATACAAAGCCATGATGACAATCTAATTTTGATCTTGCATAGCTGAAATCCCTAGCTCTTAGGAAATACTTACTCTGGAAACTTCTTGTTGATGGATGAAAATATGTTCCTCATATAAATAAATCATATGGAATTTTTGTAGTTCCTGTGACCTTTCTTCATGGCTTTCTGTCTTCTGTTTCAGAGAGATTCAAGTGATACACTATTTAAAAGAAAACAAGGAAGCCATTTTTAAATGTCATAAATGGAGCTGTATTATTTCAGCAGTATTTCTTTGTGTTTTAAGAGCAAAGAATCTCTTGATTAAAATTAGGTCTCTCCTTCTATTCCTAGTTTTGACAATGCAAACTAGTATTTTGTCGCAATCATAGAAATTCTGTGGGTCTGCGATGATATGCAAAAGCTCCTGATGTGGAGATTGTGTCTTAAGTAATTCTTTCTTTAAAACATTTGCTAACAGAAATATCAGATAATTTGTTAGATTTGGTGTTACAATTATTAGTAAATATTATTTGGAGACATTGGTTCTACTACTGCTGATGCTCTGGAGTTGGAACAGTGCAATGACTCATTCATCTGTTAAAGCTGTTGTGCTTACATGTGCCTTCAGTTCTACAGCGCTACTTTTAAAAGTTGATTCTTCACTTAGTGAACAAAATCTGAGCGTGTTTGTTTGCCATACCAAATAAATTATGCCCCTTCACCTATGTAGTATGTCAGTTTGTTGTTACTGAAATCGTTATTTCAGGCCAGCATATATTCATAGAATGCTTGGGTTTAGAAGGAGCCTTAAAAATCATCTAGTTGCAATCCTTACGCTGTTGATTGCCACCCATTAGATTGGGCTACCCAGGGCTCCATCCAACCTGGCTTTGAACACCTCCAGACATCCACAGATTCTCTGGGTCTCACCACCCTCATCGTGAAGGATTTATTTCTAATATCTAATCTAAATCAACCATCTTTTAGTGTTAAGCTTTTAACCCTTGTCCTGTTGCTACACTCTGCAAAAAGAGTTTCTTTCTAGCTTTCCTGTAGGCGCCCCTTAGGTACCAGACGGCTGGTACAAGGTGTTCTTGGAGCTCTCTCTTCTCTGACTGAAAAAATTAAGACTGACTGATAATCACTGGGGCTACATATTTATATTTCTCTTGAATAGGTGTATATGAAAGATGTTCAGCTGAATTGTAAAATAGGGTATGCGAAATGCTTAAATGCATTTGTACTGTTCTGAAGATAGTTTTTCTGATGTGTGTAAGGAAAAAAAAAACAACTGAAAAAACACTATGGGAGACTTAGGAGGGAAGTTCACATCACAAAATACAGTTTCGAAAAAATATGAGTTTCTGTGATATTTAGTATTTGTGGTACAATTACGTTAGCAGTAGTGCTGACAATACTGAAATGGTATTTTCTGGATTTGGAATTACACACAAGCACGGGGGTTGGAAAGGACCTCAGTAGATATTGAATTCAATCCCCGTGCTGAAGAAGGTACTGCACAATAAGTTGCATAGATAAGTATCCAGATGGGTCTTGAATATCTCCATAGAAGGAGATTCCACAATCTCTCTGGGCAATCTGTTCCAGTGCTCCATTGCTCTTCTTATTGTGAAAAGTTCTTCCACATGTTACTACAGAACTTCCTATGTTCAATTTTAGGCCATTGTTCCTTGTCATATTGCTATGCACCACTGAGAAGAGCTTGGCCTCATCCATTTGCCTCCCATCTCTCTTTAGATAATTATGAATATTTCTCATCTCCCCTCCCAGTCTTCTTTTTCCCTAGCAGAACAGACCTCATAGGGGAGATACTCCAGGCCACTTATCATCCTTGTGGCCCTCTGCTGGACTTCTTCTTGGAGATCCCTTTTCTTTTTGAATTGAGAAACCCAGAACTGGACACAGTACTCCAGATGTGGCCTCACCAGGGCAGAAGAAAGGGGGAGGATCGCTTCCCTCAACCTACTGGCTCCGCTCTTCTTAACTCACCCCAGAATACCATTGGCCTTCTTGGGTACAAGGCTACACTGCTGGCTTAAGGCCAACCTGTTGACCACCAGGACCCCAAGGCCTTTCTCCATGGAGCTCATCTCCAGCAGATTATTTCTTATCCATGAGGTTATTCCTTCCTAGGCTCAAGACTCTACACTTGCTCTTGTTAATTCTCATCTGGTTTTTCCCTGCCAACTCTCCAGTCCGTTCAAGTCTTGTTGAATGGTAGCACAACCTTCCATAGTGTCAGCAACTCCTCCCAGTTTTGTATCATCAGCAGACTTGCTGAGGGAGGACTCAATCAACAACCTGGATGAAGGGATAAAAATGTTGAACAAGACCAGACCCAGAACCCCGCTGGGGAACACCGCTAGTTACAGGCCTCCAACCAGACTCTATGCTGCTGATAACAACTCTCTGAGCTCTGCCAGTCAGCCATTTCACAGTCCACCTCACTGTCGAGTTATCTATTCCACACTTATACATATATACTCTACATAACACTTATATATATATATACTCTATATTTCATAACAAGGGTGTTGTGGGAGATGATGTCAAATGCCTTGCTGAAGTCAAGGTACACAACATTCTTTGCTCTCTTCCCATCTACCTACCAAATGATGACGTCATAGATGGCTACCAGGTTGGTCAAGCATAATTTCCCCTTGTTGAATTTATGTTGACTCCTCCTGGTAAGTTTCTTTTCTTTCAATTGCTTGGAGGTGGCATCTGAAACAGGTTGCTCTGTCACTTTTCCAGGGATGCAGGTGATACTAACTGCCCTGTAGTTACCCAAATTCTCCTTCTTGCCCATTTTGAAGACTAGAGTGATGTTGGCTGTTCTCCAGTCTTCAGGCACCGATCCTGTTTGCCAAGATCTTTCAAAGATGATAGAAGGTGGCTCAGCAATCACCTCTGCCAATACACATACTCTCTCAGTACATGTGGGTGCATCCCATTGAGGCCCATGAGTTTCTTGTATGAGGAATAATTGTATTTGGTATAAAGAAGCATAAAGAGGAATACTTGTTTTATGCGAGATTCATTTGCTGAATACCAGCAAGCCTTAATATTTTGTGTGTTAGTGTGTTTGGTAGATGTGCTAGATGTTAATTTTCCTTATTTTGAAATGTTTCAGGTTCGTGGCAGTAAAGGTGAAGTCCTTTATATCCTGGATGCAAGCAATCCACGCCATTCTAACTGGCTGCGTTTTGTCCATGAAGCTCCATCACAGGAACAAAAGAATCTGGCTGCAATCCAGGTAGATTTCGTACATTCCTACCATTTTCTTTCTAACTTGATCTCCTGTTCAATCTTTATCTTGTGCAGAAAAAAGATTTGAGAAACATAACTTTCCTTTTCTTATCTTTCCTTTTTGGAGGTGAACACTTGTGCTTAAATATGGTACCATAAATAAAAGATATAAAGACTGAAGGAGTTGTTAGTTAAAATCTGATATTCTTTGAAAGATTAATCCACTGAGATGAAAGTGCGCTAAGTAAATTATATGAGCTATTTCTCATTTATAGTAAAATGAACAGTTTACATTTAGAAAAAGTCATTTCCGGAGTAGTTCGTACACTTCTATAATGACAGCCTAATTTTCTCGCTACAGCCTTTCTCAGACCAATTAAGTTTTTGCCTGAAATTCAGGTATGGACTTAGATGTGAGAAAAGCAAAATCTTACCTTTGCTTTATAGTTAGTTTAAAACGTAATGCAGCTTTTGGCAAATTTGATAGCAAGCATGATGCTTAAATTATTCCAGTAGAAAACAGAGAATTCAAGAATCTAATTATCTGATAGGATGATCATGCAGTGCTTGAGGATAAGTTAATAAAAGCAGATCATTTTCTTTTTCTAGTCTTGGCAGCAGATCTGAATTTATCCAGCTTATTTTTTATTTTTATATTTCTCATTTGCAGTGTTGTGTGGTAATGAGTTCCATTGTTTTAATTACATATTATGTGAAACATGCTTATGCTTTTCTTTTAGCAACTTTTTAATTTCACTTGATTTCTCTTCATCCATGTGTGACAGTGAATAGTCACTTTGTTCCTTATCCCGTGCCATCCCTGATTTTATAGAACACTATTATATCCTTTCCATTTCATTTGACAACTCTTTTCTCAAGCTGAAGAATCTTAATCTGTAAATTTTTGGAAGCATTCTGTGACTTTGCAGAATGATAACAAAGGCAGCCATATTTTTCTAGTTATAGCTATTGTCCTCTTAGAGATTATGAAGTAAACAAGCTCTTGGAGCATTTTTTTTTTTTTGCACAGCTCAGTAAAATAATTTTCAATCCCCCGTAAGCAAAAATTACTATGCTGTTATTTTTTTTTTGTCTCAAGACATATTCTTGCCAAAAAGCTGTTTCAAGTTAAAACAACTTATACTCTAATGTAATCAAAATCTGCATGTGTATATGCATATATAGATATATTTATGCAGATTTTTTATATATATATATATAACAAAGGAGCCTCAAAGACCATCCAATTCCAACCTCCTTACTGTGGACAGAGTTCCCACTGTCAAGGTAAGGCTTTCCAAGGCCCCATCCAACCTGTCTTGAACACCTCCAGATATGGGGCATCCAAAGCTTCTCTGGGCAACTTGTTCTAATGGCTCCCCACCCTCTGAATAAAGAACACCTCCCTAACGTGCAATCTAAATCTTCCTTTTAGTTTGAAAACATTCCCCCTTGTTATATCACTATATGCCTGTGTAAAAATCAGTAAAAAGGAGAAACATTAGAAAAACAGTATAAATGTTTATCAGCATTTCTTAAAATTATAGTTCTGCTTTTTTGTCTTGAAATGATTTTTTTTTTCTCCAGGATTTTCCAGCAGATCCCTGAGAAAATGATTAAAAAGAAGTTTATTCTGAAGCCAATCAGAAATATTTTTAGATACCTTTATTTGCTGAGAGACAAATGAAGTAAAACAAGAAAAATGTTTAATAATAATAATAATAAAAGATTAGTTAAGTTCCAGGATGTAGTTTTGTGGAAGGTGCACACTGATGGCACTCAGTACTGGTTACTTCAGTTTTTGTGCTGAAGATCTGATGCTTCCTTGAATATCATGTTCTCTAGAGGGGCTCTTTGCTTGTTTGGTTTTTAAGCAAGCACTGTCCAGTGAGATTTCTGCTGCCAGTTCTTAGAGACTTCACATGTCCTTCCTCTTTTTGTTTCAGCAGTGAGCCTTTCTACGATTTCATTTCTGCTGTTCTACTGCATCTCTTCTCCCTAGCAATTTGATTTGTTATCTGCCTTCACTTGATTTGCACCTCCTACTTTCTAAAGCTCTAGTTCTACTGAATGGCAGTCTGCAGTTTACATCTGCAGCTTTTTTTCATGGTGATCCTGTGTAAATGAAAATTCAAGGATGATCTCTCTAGAAACTAAAGGTATATCTACTGCTGTCTTCCAGACCAATTTGTTTCTCTCCAAGTAATAATCTTCACATATCTCTGGCATACCATTGCTAGCTGAAAATATTTGCAATTTTGCTTCTGATATTGTTTCTTTGTACTTTGTTATTGTTCCTGTTTTACTTTGCTACTGACAGCTTTATCATCAGTTTATTTGGATCTGTATGCTTTAATCTTTGGATCAGACTTCTTTAGGTCTTTACGTCCAGGCTGCAGTTTAGTTTTGAGTAGTGTTAAGGGTGTTCACTATTCGCCCATTCAGCAAAACCTCTTGTCAATAATTGACTGAGTGAGTGCTTTGCTATGATTTTTCATGATGTTTGTGGCAAGTCAATGGGTAATTTAGTATGATCACTGTCTGTGAAATTATTTCTGTATTTTTTTCCTTCTGTCTTGTTCTTTCTGTTATATCAAGACTTCAAACTTGAAGATTTCTGGCATGACCTGTTGTCTTGCTTACAGCACTAACTATGAAAGACCCTCATATGTGGTCATCAGTCCTCGGCATTAGTCAAGTATGTATTATAATCACTGAATAGTCAGTGTGATATTAATTACAGTCAGTGTTGGCAAATGTGAGGTAAGCTTCACAAGAGGGAGCAGTGTGAACAATTAATGTTTGTTATTACATTTTAAATAAAACACTCAGTAAAATAACCTGAATTTCTGAACAAGTCTTAATAGAATGTCACATCCAGTGTTTTCATTAATGAAAATGGTCATTTAAAGAAAGGAAAAGTATCATGAACACAAATTAATGAACACAAACAAAAATTTACTGAGTCATCACTTTTTAAGTGCCATTGATTAACAACTGACAACACTTGTATATTCTTTATGAGTGAAATTTTGTGTGTGTATATATATATACATGCATTTAACTACAGGTAGCATGAATAGGTACAGCTTATGTTAAGTAAAGCTAAATATGCACATATTTCCTTTCAGGGTTTTGTTTCACTTTAGCAGATGGAGGTGCAAATCCCAAAGCACCTCTATTTCTCTTGGGAAGAAAAAAGCCCACAAATCCATGAGTATTTTAATTCCATAATCTTTGTATCTTTGTACTTAATAATAGGCAGTAGCACTTTGTTTTGTGAAATCAGAGGACAATATGCAAGTGGAAAATTTCCAGTATTCTTTATTTGGAATTGTGAGTTGCCTGCTTGCCACAAAGACAACATGTTTTACAAAGAGGGGAAAGGTATAAACTTTGTTAAAATGCTTCATTACAACTACGTTGTGAAGTTGCATTTCAAAACAAATACCTAGATAATTAAAAGGTTAAAAGAATTCAAAATAGAGATTACTACATCAAACAAAATAAAAGCTTTATCTTAAAGAATGATTATGCTTTATATAATAAAGTAGAATATGTCTGCATAATTACAGAAAACCAATTATCTAACTAAGAAAAGAAAATAGAATAGTTAGAAGTGGTTAAAGAAATTGTATTCTCAGCAGCACGTTATAATTACCCTGGAGAAATGTAAAACTCTTGGGAATTACTTTATATAATGGTGCTTTTTTTTTTTTAATGCAATACTTAGTGAAACGTACTAAAATGTTCTGGAGAAATCTTCTGGTGACACTGTGGGGTGTGTGTTGGTCTGACTTCTGGCATTGCTCGATGGTGGAGCAGTGATGTTTAAGTATTCTTTGACTAGAAACATCCAGCATGTATCATTAACAGCTCTTTTGTCAGTTGTGCCAATATGCTGCTAGAAAATAACAAAAGAGATTGGAGGGCAGCAGCACGGATTGTTTTTCTAGGCATTTTGCGGTTGAATTGCTGCAGGGCTCTCTAACTTGTTTCAAGTATTTATTAAATGAATTAATCCCTTATTATATTTAAAGTAGCTTCAGGTTTACAACTTCTGCATTAACAGAAACTGTACTATTTGTAATCTTTTTTTGCCTTGGGTTACTCCTTATCTATTTACTTACAAATATGACTTCTGATATGTAGCAAAAAATACGTTGTAATTATAATAATCTAAGGAAAATGGCTCCTATGAAAAAAAATCTGTATTTTTCCCCCATTTTTTGGAGTGATTAGTATTACATCTTCATTATTCTTTTATACTGAATGCATAAACTTATCTGTTTTTCAGTTGTATTTTTATTAAACACTCTGTGCTGGAGATTACTTTGTGAAAAAGATTCTGTTGTTGTTAACACGAAAACTGTTTTACTAACAGCATCGCAGACAGAATTTTAAATTCAAATATTATTTCATTAATAAGCAGGCAATGAGTCGGTCTAATGTAGCTCAGAAAATCATGAGTTAGAATAATAATTAGCAAAAACTGATATGAAGGAAGATATCTACTGTGAATGGGTAGAGTGGTTTGAAGATGTATTTCATGAGTGTAACAGAAGACTATCAGTATGGGAGAGAGAACGCTGTAGTAAGCATAGTAAATGTGGATGATCTAAAAGGCAAGAGTGACAGAAGAAACAGGGAAAGCAAAACCAAATTGCGTTACGCTGCTTAGTAAGTCTAAGTATTGCTGAACAGTTTTGTGAATGCCTGAATTTTACTGGTGGCTTCAGCATTACAAAGGAGAGATTGTATTTTGGAAGCAGTTTAAGAATCAAAATGAACGTAGTTCATTTTGTATGTTTGGAAAGGAGAATTCAAAAGTATATTGATTCTTGAATTCTTCAGTAGGAAAGAGGAGAAATTTTAATTTAAGTGTGACACACATTTATCTGTGTTTGAGTATACTCTAGTGCTGTTGAGTTAGTCTGTTACTGAAGAGAGGTGATCCTTTCATGTACTTGGCACTGGTGAGGTTTCACCTGGAGTACTCTATTTCTC